CAGGCTCAAGGTCAAAGCTAGACTCAGGCTCTCGACGCTCAGGGGTGGAAGCACGAGTCTCAGGCTCTCGACGCTCAGTCAGGGACTGTGTCACCGCAGTGTAAGGAGCAGGAGCAGGCAGTGGGGAGTGCAGTAGCAGCGGCGGCGGTGACTGGTCCGCCGGTGGAAACAGTAACGGAGGAGTAGTACCTGCCACAGGGAAGTCAGTAGCACCTGGCGGAAGACTGAGAAGGTGGCGAAGAGCACCAGTAGCCCCCGTACCTCCAGAACGAGCAGCTCCTCCAGTACCCCCAGCAACACCTCCAGCACCAGTAGCACCAGCACCTCCAGCACCTCCAGCACCAGCAGCACCACGAGCTCCGACAGCGCCAGCACCTCTAGCACCAGCAGTACGTCCAGCACCTCCAGTGCCAGCAGCTCCAGTAGCACCTCCAACACCTCCATCACCAGTAGTACCACCTGCTCCGGCAGCTCCAGCACCTCTAGTACGAGCACCTCCAGGACCAGCAGCTCCAGCACCTCCAGTACCTCCAGCTCCAACTCCAGCGCCTCCAGCACCAGCAGTACCTCCAGCACCAGCAGCACCACCTGCTCCGGCAGCTCCAGCACCTCTAGTACGAGCACCTCTAGGACCAGCAGCTCCAGCACCTCCAGTACCTCCAGCTCTAGCGCCTCCAGCACCAGCAGCACCAGCACCTCCAGGGTCAGTAGCTCCAGTAGCACCTCCAACACGAGCAGCACCACCAGCTCCGGCAGCTCCAGTACCTCTAGTACGAGCACCTCCAGGACCAGCAGCTCCCGCAGCTCCAGCACCAGTAGCACCAGCACCTCCTGTGCCAGTAGCTCCAGTACCCCCAGCACCTCCAGTACCAGCAGTACCTCCAGCACCAGCAGCTTCAGTACCTCCAGCTCCAGTACCTCCAGTACTAGTAGCTCCAGTACCTCCAGCACCAGCAGCAGCTCTAGTACCTCCAACACCTGCAGTACCTCCAGCAACTCCAGCACCAGTAGCACCTCCAGTACCTCCAGGCCTAGCAGCTCCAGTACCTCCAGCACCAGTAGCACCTCTAGAACCTCCAGCAGTACCTCCAGGCCTAGTAGCTCCAGTACCTCCAGCACCAGCAGCACCTCTAGTACCTCCAGCTCCAGGACCTCCAACAAGGTCACCCACAACTCCACCGCCACTAGGACTCGCAGCACCCCAAGAGTCAGCACCCCCAGTAGCAGCACCCCCAGAACCAGCACCCCCAGTCGCAGCACCCCCAGAACCAGCACCCCCAGGCACAGCACCCCCAGAACCCTCACCCTCTGTCTCAGCACCCCCAGTCTCAGCACCAGTAGTCTCAGCTCCAGAGTCCACAGCAGCAGGCTGCGCAGGCGGCGAAGACGGTCGAGGCGGAAAACCTGGGGGGGTCTCCAAGCGTGGAGAGCGGCGAGTGGCCGCCATGTCGTCCGCAACTGGGTCACCCCCCTCAGCTGGGCCAGAGGAGTCAGAAGAGATCTCCACTGGCTCATCCAAGGGGGGTGGGTCGACCTGAGACACACCTGAGGGAGCAGGACCCTGTGGGGGGAGGGGGTCTACCGGGGGGGGGACTGGTACCAGGAAGAGGGGTGCTAGGGGAACCGGGTGGGACGCGTGGGGGTGTAACTGGTAGTAACAGACAGACTCGTCAAAGGTGACGTCCTGGGAGGAGAAGACTCGACGCTCGCGCGGGTGGTAGAACTGCCACGGCGGGGCGTCAGTGGGGAAGCCAAGTAAGACGCAGCGGAGAGTGCGAGAGGAGAGCTTGCTCACTTTGGCATCGCGAACAAGGGAGAGCACGCCCCAGACCCGAAACACTGACGCATCACCAGCCTTCCCCGTCCACCGGAGGGTGGGCGAGGTCTCTGGCACAGAGACACGAGGCCAGGGGTTGAGCTCACGCGCAGCGTATCGGACCGCAAACGGCCACAGAAAATGGGGAGCAGCCGCATGGATCATGGAGGTGCGAGCAACCTCCATGATCAAGCCAATGCGGCGCTCAGCAATCCCATTCTGCTGAGGAGAGGCCGGAAGCGTGAACGTCTGGCGGATGCCCTCGTCTCGACAGAACCCCGCAAGGAGGTCAGAGGAGAACTCACCACCCCTGTCAGAGTGCAGACGCAAGACTGGGAAGTCCTGCTTAAACCGCTCGTGCAGCTGGAGACGAGTAGCACGGATCCAGGGGATCAGGACACCGCTGACGTCCGCCTTGCGCCGCAAGGGGAAGACAATGGTGTAGCGTGTGTAGTCGTCAACAACCAGCAGGAAGTAGTGCTCGCGGTCCGTTCCACCGATGGGGGCCGGGCCCCACACATCCATGTGGAGAGTCTGCAGAGGAGCAGTGGTCGGAGAAAACTCGGAGGAGTGAGGAGCGGCGCGCTGCCGCCCCTCGACGCAAGGAAGGCACGGCGGGGCAAGCGAGCGCGGCAGGGGGGGCAGGGTCCTGGGGAGGCCAGAGACAAGGAGACGGGAATGCATGCTGCGTAGACGCGGCAGGGAGGGGTGACCAAGACGGTGGTGCCAGCGCTGAGTCTCGTGCGTGAGTACTCTGCACGAGCAAGACGCAGCTAACTGTCCCGACGCAGACACCCGACTCGACGCAGCCACCTGACCTGACTCAGCCACCTGTGCAGACGCAGTGGTCAGTGTGTACGGACTAGACCCAGGCTGTCGAGTGAACGTAGCCAGGTGACGGCCAGTCCGTGAGCACGTACAGATCGCCACACGCTGCCCTCGAGGAATAAAGGCATCAACCCAGACATCCTGAATGGCAGCGTTGCTCACCAAGTTCGTCGAGAACGTGAGGAGGTGGAGACCTGACAGAGAACCGGAGGGGACTGCCGGACAAGGGAGGACAGTGGAGGCTCGCGCAACCACTGGGCCCCCAGAGGGGTCAGCCAGTGAGACTAGGACAGGTGCTGCAAGTGGTGTGACTGTGGTGCAATCACGAAAAAAGCAACGTGACACGCCTGAGTCAAGCGTGAAAGTGTGCAAGACCTCAGCTGAGGCAGGACCTGTGGCAGTAGATACACTAGTACCTAGAGCGTCGGCAGACTCACGGGCACCTAGAGCTGCAGCAGACTCACCAGCACCTGGAGCGGCAGCAGACTCACTAGCACCTGGAGCGGCAGCAGACTCACTAGAACCGAGAGCAGTAACCTCGACACAGCCAGGGACGCATCGGTGAGAAGCACAGTCACGGGCTGCAGGGGCAACGCGCGGCTCGGCAGGGCGGCACGCGGGCTGCAGGGGCAGCGCCCACGGGCAGCAGGGGCGACGCGCGGCTCGGCAGGGCGGCGTACGGGCTGCAGGGGCAGCGCCCACGGGCTGCAGGGGCAACGCGCGGCTCGGCAGGGTGGCGCACGGGCTGCAGAGGCAGCGCCCACGGGCTGCAGGGGCGAACGCGCGGGCTGCAGGGGCAGCACACGGGCCACAGGGGCAGGCACGGCTGCAGGGGCAGCACGGTCGCAGGGGCAGGCACGGCTGCAGGGGCAGCACGGTCGCAAGGGCGAGTACGGCTGCAGGGGCAGCGCGGTCGCAGGGGCGAGCACGGCTGCAGGGGCAGCGCGGTCGCAGGGGCAGCGCGCGGGCTGCAAGGGCAGCGCGGCTGCAGGGGCAGCGTAGGAAGAAAAAAATTACAGGTAGGGCAGGGCGGAACGTTCGGTGGGCCCTAGGAACGATTCTGCTCTAATACCATGTTAGAATCAGCAGGCAGGAATGATGGTCTTGAGAAGGAAGGGCAGTACAAGTAGTCCTAACCCTAGAGTATTGTACCCCTTGTAGGCTAACCCACTATAGCCTAGAGATAACACAAACATACAGTTTGACAGTAAGGTCCAAAGAAAAGTGCCATCAGGCTGGAAATTGGTTAACATTGAGCGCGTTGAAGTTGAAGCAGAAGCCATCTGAATAGACATATAATTTGGATACCCAGAACATAGAGTATGAAGCTCATTCACAATGAGAATGTTGCTAGCATGAAATGAAATGGTTCAGTTCGGTTCCTGTAAGCAGGCTTGCTCCTCGTTGCAGTGCTATATTGTCGTGTACTGCTCCATCGAGTGTTTTTCCGGATGAGGTGAGGTGCACTGAAAGGGACTGTGGGTTGTTTCTGCACGTTGAGTGGATAGGTAAGCTGGCGAATTTAATGCGACAATTCGGTGGCCTTTTTGGCGAAGACTGAACATTTGTTTCCAGTTGCTCTCGCAACCCTAACTTCGACCGCTTTGGATCAAACCTTGGTTATCTCTTTGAACTTCCATGTCACCCCGTTCCAGAAAACGTGGCCCTTTCAGGGTGTAGTTGGTTTTGTTCGCAATTCTGAGGGAATCAGGAGCAGGGATGCTAAGAGTAATTTAGGCAACGGGCTCAAAGAATAGACATACCCTACTTTCTGGATACACAGAGCAGTACTTTTCCAGATTCTGACTATTTCGAAAACAAACTTGTATGACGTCAAGTTCCTTCAAGCTTACCTTCTTCCCCATGGCGGCCATAGGCATCCGTCATAATTCAAGGACCAATTTCGTGAAGCCATTGTTGTGCAAGCGAAAGCTTGTTTCTGCAGAGCAGACGATGAATGCAAGCTCCCAGTCTGATTATTCCCGACCAGTTTCGCTTGATCTTGTTTCTGTTGTTGAAGACCCGTCACTAGTGCTGAGCTCCAGTTTCATGTCACCAGTTACAGTATCACGACATGGACTGCATGGGAATGCCGGCTTCCATGGGGCGTCGCGACGGGTTTCGAACCCTAAGCGGAGACAGTTCTGTCTTTACTGAAACAATTCCGGAAGAAACGGCGAATTTCGACTCCTTAGCGTACGAAGTGAATCGAACGGCGTCGTCTAACGGGGATGCAGAAGAGGAGGGTTGCGAGGGCTTACTTACGCGGCAAGATGAGGTAGTAGGCTACGAGAAAAGGGGTTGCTGCCCATCGCTGAGCTTCAACGAATTAAAGCCACACCGGAAACGGCTACCGATGGAAATTATAACAAAAACCGCGCGATTGCCACCTTTTTCAGCCTGGTATGATACCAAGGGTTGCGACCCCTCTACTAGTAGCGCAGCAGATTCGGACGAGGGTTACAATTCGTCCGCTCTCGCCACGCCCCCGTGTGACTCTAACGAACCCGTCAACGCACGGGGACCCCCTGGAGTGGCCTCGTCGTGCTTCACCGCCGTTAATGGGAGTGACGCACGCGGATTGGATGATGAGGAAAGAGGTCGTGTGGAGAACGAGAAAGAGGCGGCGAAAGAAGAGAGCGCGGAAGACGCTGGGGAGAGTGATGATGACGGGGAGACGCGGGGAGGGCCTGAAGACAGGAGTGAAATTATTCTGGAAGAGGGGCCTGAGGAGTATCATGCATCTGATCATGATGGGGGGCATGAGAATGATGATGGGGGGCATGAGAATGATGATGGGGGGCATGAGAATGATGATGGGGGGCATGAGAATGATGATGGGGGGCATGAGAATGATGATGGGGGGCATGAGAACGATGATGGGGGTCATGAGAATGATGATGGGGGTCATGAGAATGATGATGGGGGTCATGAGAATGATGATGGGGGTCATGAGTCTGATGATGGCCGAGGGTATCGTGAGTCTGATGATGGGGGGTATGAGTTCGGCCCTGAGGAGGAGGAGGCGGAGAGAGCCATGCTCGAAGAGGCGGAGGAGGCTAGTATGCAGGAGCGATTCATGGCGGAAAAGGGGGTCGCGGAAGGGGCGGAAGGGCAGAACCAGCGGCAGCAGTCGTGGCTGACGAGTGTGGAGTGGTTCGTGTCGTGGCCGCTCAGACGACTCAGCCACCCGTGGCGCAAGGTACGCCATGAAACCGCAGTGCTTTGTGTGCGTGCTGGCCGAACCACTGTGTGTTTTTTTAGCCAGATGCCACCCGCGGCGAAAGGTACACCGTTAATAGTACCACGCAAATTATGTGTGAGTGCTGGCCAAGTGAAAGGTACGTCGTCGTACCACGCAAATCATGTATGCGTTCGTGCGCGCGTGTGTGTGTTTTGGCCGAGCCGTTGATTTTTTAGTCGACTCAGCCGCCCGTGGCGCAGGGTACGCTGTGAATACCGCAGTACTATGAGTACAGGGGACGCCACCACGCGTAGTGTCCTGGTCCGTGCGCCGTGCGTGCGTTCCATGTGAAAAAAAACAAACATTTGAGGACTGCGACCTCCCAGGTCTTGGCTGTTGTGTCACTTCTAGGGTGTGGAGTTGAGACGTCTCAAAACACTCTCAAGTCCTGGCTGAGGCGTCGGTTCTAGGGGTAGGTAGGTGGGGTCTGCTGGCGGTGGGCATTCTGACGCGCTGGTGTTCACACTGACATGGAAGCTGTCCATGCGGGATGAGAGGGAAGACACGCAGAGCAACGTGCCTCTTAGCTTCCCCCCTGTGGTCACCCTCCCATCCCACACCCCCCACCCTCCGTCCCCCCTCCCAGCGTGTGCTGTGGGTGTGGGTGCTGGTGGCAGCAGCCATCCTGTCGCTCGTGTTTCTGGCGGCGTGGCAGCACTTCGCTTCTCAGCTTGGCTCCTGTGGTCACACCCCTCCCTCCTCCCTCCTCCCCCCCTCCCAGCGAGTGCTGTGGGTGTGGGTGCTGGTGGCAGCGGCCATCCTGTCCCTCGTCTTTTTCACGGCGTGGCAGCATGCCAAGACGAACGAGAAGCACGACCTGGAGGAGCACTGCGACGAGTGGGCGGCGTTTATCGGCGCCAAGTTCAACACCACCGTCGCCAACACACGCTCCATTTCCGACTTCGTCCGCGCTTACTACCTCGATAAGTAAGGGCATGGCATGGCCACCTGTTTACTTTCCTTCTACCCGTGCTGCGAGTTTCTTGATGCGCCAGTAAGGTGACATGCAAAGACACTGCGAGGAGGACGAGTGGGCTGTGTTTAGCTCAACAACACCACTGCCTGCCAGCACACGCTCTGTCTACGACTTTATCCCCGTCTATTACCGCGATAAGTACAGGAATCCACAGCACATGGGCGTGCTTTGCTCTTCTCCAGGTGACAAGTGCATTCGGTTCGGTTGTCTGACGACTGAGAATTTAAGTTGGTGTGTTTGACCTTTCAACCCACTCCAACGACTTGCGTTTAGCTCCCTTTTTTTCGCATGATGAATATCAGGGCAACTTACCCAACCTCCTTCTCTCCGCCCATCCGGTTACTCTGCTCCCTTCCCCCCTTCACCCCCCACCGGACCCACCCTGTCACCTTTGCCACACCTTCCCTCCGACCAATCAGCATGAAGGAGGACTTTCGTGACTTGGCAAAATTCCAACGGTTCACTCAGGCTACTCTTGATAGTCGACCCATGGCTTCATGTGAGTAGCATGTGGTGTGAGTTGCATGGGATTTGAACCCATGGCCTTATGTGAGTTGCATGTGATTTCAACCCATGGCCTTGTGAGTTGCTTGTGATATGAACCCATGGCATCAATTGGGTTTCATGTGGTCCCCCCCACCCTACCCAACCTCGCACTCCTCCCCCGCCTTCCTCCTCTTCCCCCCCCCCACCCCTCTCGCCCTTGGATTCCCCGTTTTCTTCCCCCTCCCCCCTCAACCACTTCTCCCTCACCCACTTCTCCTCTTGGATTTTCCGTTTTCTTCCTTCTCCCTCTTTGTGCCACCCTCGCTCTCCTGTCCTAATGCGCCCAAAAGAAAGCCTCTGTCCAGCCACGCGGTTCCTGCGTCTCCCCACTGAGTTTTCCATGTTCCTCATGTGTGTGTGTGCTGCCCACCCACCTACCCACCCACCCACCCACCCACTCACCCACCCACCCACCCACCCACCCACCCACCCACCCACCCACCCACCCACCCACCCACCCACCCACCTACACACTCTGTTGCCTGCAGTCGTGGCCTTCACTCTCCTCGTAAACAACTCGTTCATGCGAGACAGAATTGAGAAGACCGCCGGGCACTGCTTCTACGGGCCCGGGCCCAATGGCACTGTGTCCTGCCGCCCGCGTGGCCTGCCCTTGTACGCGCCAGTGCTGGTCTTCAATGGGCGCAAGGACTTCAACCCACGGTTGAGGCCCATTGCTGCTGGATGCTGCTACGACATGCTGGAAGGTGAGTCAGCGGCATGGCAGGTGACTCAACCCCACGGGGTCCTCTTATCAGTCGAAAGGTCTACCTCAAAATGTCTCTGTGGCCAAAGGGCAGTGAGGGACATGATCCACCGGGCCATCGACTCAGCCTCCTCTGTCATTCCCCTCCACCCTGCCCTCCTTCACCACCACCTCCCACCCCCTCCCACCCCCGCCCACCCCTTCCCACCCCGTTCCACTGCCCCTCTCAGACCCAGGAGTGGCCGACATGATCCACAGGGCCATCGATTCAGCCTCCTCCGTCACGTCTCCGCCCTTCATGCGCGACAACTACCCCTACCACTTCATCAGCCAAGTCTTCCCAGTCTACGTCAACCTCACCACCTTCGCCCTGCCTCCCTCGCCCTCCCCTCCCTCCATCGCCATCCCTCCGCTCGCCACCCCCGGCCCCGGGGTGCTCCCACGGGGGCTCGTCGTCGCGGGGTATAACTTTGCAAACCTGCGATCACTCGTGGGGTTTCAGCAGTTGGTGGAGCTGAAGACGAGGGTTTATCTGGTGGATGGGACTAGGGGGGGTGCTTGGGATGGTGCGCGGAATGAGACTGCACGGAATGAGGACGGAAGGACTCTTAGATGGATGCCTGCGCTATTATTTGACCATGAGGGGGTGGTGGGTGAGGAGGAGATTGGGGCGTGGATGGTGGATGGGAAGGAGCAGGAGAGGGGGAGAGTGCGAACAATGGTGCACCTGGGTGATTCGACGCGAAACTTCTATCTTTTTTGCGAGTGAGTTGATGTGCGCATGCATGTGCACGTGCATTAGCACACATGCATACACACGTATAAAAACACACATGCAGATGCATACAACATGCATGCATGCATCCTCCCATGCATATATGAGACAGCAAACTCGCATACATGCACATCGACATGCATGCATTCATGCATGCATACCTACATGCGTGCATGCATGCATACATCCATACATACATACACACATACACACACACACACACACACACACACACACACACACACACACACACTCGCACGCACGCACGCACGCACGCACGCACGCACGCACGCACGCACGCACGCACGCACGCACGCACACACACACACACACCTACGTACCTACATTTATATGCGTATCGTACCACTTTCCTCCCCTCGCACTCCAACCGTCCCCATCCTCCCTCCCTTCCCACTGTTCTCCTCCCTCACCTCCCCTCCTTCCGTCGCTCCCTTATCCCGCCACAGGCACACTTCATACAAAAGACCATTCGGCCCGTTCATCTGGATAATAGTCGCCGCGCTCTTCTTGACCGTGTCCACCTTCCTCCTCTGGACGTGCATCCAGCTCATGCACGCCTTTGAGTGCGACTGCCAACACCTGGCTGTGGCGCAGCATGAGCTGCGCGCTGCCCGAGTGGAAGCCGAGGCGGCGAGCCGCGCCAAGGGAGATTTTCTCACGACCGTGAGCCACGAGATCCGCACTCCCATGAACGGCGTAATAGGTGAGTCACTTTTAAGGCGCCTCAATGGCAAGTGAATTACCATTTCGTGTGTTTGTTGGAGATACAATTGGTCTTTTTGTCAAAAGACCTGCACTGGGGATGCACGATTGATCCTAAGGAAGGGTTATAGTCTCGCTGGCCTGGGGGGTTATGGCCGCATTGACTCGCTGTTTAAAAAGTCTTTTTATCCAGTGGTCTAGTGGCTGGGATTCTGACATGGTATCAAAATGAAGATTTCAGGTTCGAATCCTCATGTACGCACATGCTGGCGGTGCCGCTGTGCCGTGTCTTATGGCAGCCCTGTGAAAGGGGGGGGTGTCAGAAGACATTTACTGGGGATGCCCGATTGATCCCAGGGTGGGGTTACAGGCTCTCTGGCCTAGGGGGTTATGGGCGCATTGACCCGCTAGTTAACAAGCCTTTTTATCCCAGTGGGCTAAGGACTGAGATTCTGACACCTTTTTTTGGTGTTGTGCTGTAAGACCGGTAGAAAAATCTAAAAAAGGTTGATGCAAGCCGTGCCAATCTCCTTGTCCCCACCACCTCCTCCTTCAACGTCACGTCCCTAAGGCCACTAGAGAAAGAGAGAACGGGAATCGGGGTGGTATGTGGGTTATCGTAGTCTGAAGGTTGTTATTGTCCTAATAGGCTTCAATGTGACTCAAGGGAAAGGTAGAGGGCAGTGTGGTTTCAGAACTCGATAGCTGAATGATGTCGTCTACAAGTAACAAGGTTAATCACGCGATTTCATAACGAAATGACGACGCTATGATAGTTTGAACGGACTGCAGTCTAGTAGCAATTATAGTCTTACATACAAAATATGAAAAAAATAGAGTTGGGATGACTCCCTCCCAGCCTTAACAAACCCCAGAAGCCAAGTTTCAAGGAGGGAGGTGGAACAGTGTTGCACAATCCCTAACCTGGAAAGGTTTTGAAAATACATGTTGAACAGCCCACATCACTTTTTGTTTGTCATTGTTTGTTCTTTCCCAGGCATGCTGAACCTGCTGCTGGAGACCCCTCTGGACGGCGCGCAGCACGACTATGCGGAGACGGCATGCAGCAGCGGCCGGGCGCTATGTGCGCTGATCAACGACATTCTCGACCTCTCCAAGATCGAGGCCGAGAAGCTCCGTCTTGAGCGCATCCCCCTCGATCTCCGCGCCGAGCTCGACGATGTGCTCGCGCTTTTCGTGGAGAGCGCGGATGAGAAGCGATCGGTGGAGGTTGCCGCGTCTGTGGCTGACGATGTGCCGGGGATGCTGCTTGGGGACCCGCTTCGAGTGAAGCAGGTGGGTGTAGTGTTGGTAGTACACATGAGCAGGAACCGAACGCGAACCGTTTCGGGTCGAACCGGGTCTAACTTCCTGAACTCTGTCTTTCTTAGCTAGCACAGATACCGCTGCACTGATGTTTGCACTCAATCACTTTATCCATTGCATTCGTGATGTGTCCCTTGCTCACCCTGTGTGTGTGCGTGCGTGTGTGCTTGTTTGTTTGTTTGTTTCTCTGTATGCAACAGATACTCATCAATCTCATTGGGAACGCCCTCAAGTTCACCACCAAGGGCCATGTCTTCATTGCCGTGCGCCTCGCAACCCCCACCGACACCATCAGCAACGATGATGGTGCACCCCCCTCGCTGCTCTCAGCTGCATCCTCCACGTCCTCCCTTCCACCCTCATCACCACCATCATCAGCCCACACCAAAGAATCGCCCACCAGGTGCCACTCCCTTGGGAATTGCTTCACCAGTGTGAACAACCGTAGAGAGGGGAAGGGTGCAGCTGAGGGAGATGGAGCCACTTCTGGTGTCGATGGGAGGAGCGGTGCTGCTGGGGTAGATGGGATGAGAGATACTGCTGGTGGCGACAATGGCACTCGTGGCGACATTGACTCCGGTGCCGATGCTGGCACTGGTGGCATTAGGCCCGGTGTGCGTGCTTCCACCGACCCTGGGTGTCTGACACTGAGTGGCCATGCAGCAGTGGAGACGTGGTGTTCGTGGGAGGGCATGCGGGAGCACATGGACCTGAATGCAGTGGGCATGGCGAGTCGTACCTGCAATGGCTGCAATGACTGCATTGGCGGCCACGGCCCTTGCATCCTGCCCCCTGACCAGCCCGTGCGGCTGATGGTAGCCGTTGAGGACACAGGTACGCAATCATTGCATTTGTGGGTGTGCGTGCATGCGTGAGTGTGTGCGTGCGTGTGTGTGTGCGTGTGTGCGCGCGCGGTCACGTGTGCGCCTGCTGGTAGGTGTGGAGGATACAGGTGTGTATGACGATTGAACTCGTGATTTGATCGTGTTGTGTGACCGTTGATCATGTTGTGAGATATGTTGCCATCGCGCATGTCGTCAAGCTTTCACGAGCACCCCACATGCTCGAGCAAGCCGTTCTAGTCGCATACCTCCCACCTATTGTGCTCCTGTCCTCGTTCTTCCTGCAGGTGCCGGCATCCCGCGCCATGCTCGGAGGCACATCTTCCGGCCATACGCGCAGGCAGAGCGCAGCACGGCACGGCTGCATGGAGGCACGGGCATCGGCCTCTCCATCTGCAAGGTGGGCTCTCCATCTGCAAGGTGCGCTTTCCATCTGCAAGGTCGTGGGTTGTGTTGTTGGGCATCCTACATTGCTATCCTTCTTTACCTGCCCATATCCTTCCATTTCCCCACTCTAATCCCCTCCATCAACCCCTCCCTTGCCCCTCCCACTCCCCCATCTGAGCAGCGCCTGGTGTCTTTAATGGGCGGATCCATCTTCACCTGCCCAAATCCTTTACTCCCCCCTCCCGGTGTGCCTTTCCCGCCTCCCACTTCCCCCATCCGTGCAGCGCTTGGTGTCGCTGATGGGGGGATCAATCTCCTTCTCCACCAAGCCAGGCGTCGGCACCACCTTCCTCTTCGATATCCTCCTCCACACACCCCCTCTCCCTCACCCTCCTTCCTCCCCTCCTCCTCCCCCTCAATCCAACACTCCTCCCCAAACCAACACTCTTCCCCAAACCGGCACTTCTCCTCATGCCCCGGTCCCACCTCCCCACTCTCTCTCACTCCCTCCACCCCTGCTTACTGCATCTCCAACCTCTTCTGGAACCCATGGAACCCTCACTGCCAACCCCTCTGCTGCCACTCCCTCTGGCCCTCCATGCATCCCCTCTCCTCCTTCTCAAAGCCCCTGCAACGTGCCTCCCCAAGGCACAGGAAGCCAGCAGCAGCAGCATCAGGCGGCGTGTGGGTTAGAGGGTGTGTGTGCGGTGAGTGGTAGGAGTGGTGGGAGGGCAACACAGGGATGGGAGGGAATGTGTGTGGTGAGTGTGGACGACCGGCCGGTGCGGCATGCCGTCACTCTCTCTCTGCTGCGCCGCCTTGGCGTCTGCACCCTCCCCTGCCCCTCCTTCCACCTCCTCCCCCGCCTCCTCGCCCAACACTATGCCATGCACCATGTGGAGCAGGAGCAGGAGCAGGAACAGGAGCAGGAGCAGGAGCAGGAGGAGCCAAAACGGCTTCCCTGCGTACAAGCCAACACAGGACCTATCAGCAACCTCCCATGTCCTCCTCTCAAGCCTCGTCTTGAGCCGTTGAGTTGTCCTCTCGAGCCTCTGATCGAGCCACCTCTCAAGCCTCCTCGCAAACCTCCCCTCGAGCCTGCTCTTGAGCCGTTTGGCTCGCCGACCGTTCTTGTGGCTCCTTTCGCCTTCCGCCCCTCCGCCTCCACCCCCTCCGCCTCCACCCCCTCCGCCTCCACCCCCTCTGCTTCCCCCACCCTCGTCGCCCCACTCTCCCCCACTCCCCTTTCCCGCCAGTTCTCCTGCCCTCCTCTTTCAGTCACTGCCTGCTCTTCGAGCGAGAATGGCGAGGGTGGGAGGGAGGAGGAGCAGCAGCGGCAGCGGCGCTGGCAGAAGCAGCAGGAGGAAGAGGAAGTGGAGGAGTCGAGGGAAGGGGAGGGGGAGGAGGAAAGGGAAGGGGAGGGGGAGGAGGAGGGAGAAGGGGAGGTGGAGGAGGAAGGCGAAGAGGAGGAGGAGGAAGAAGAGGAAGAAGGGGAGGAGGTGGATGGAGAGGAGGGGGTGCACCAACGAGTGCACTACAAGAGCTTGAGCAAGGGGGAGAGGCGGGGATGGGTGGGGGCGGTGGTGGTGGAGGGGGAGATGATGCAGCGGTTAGGCATCACAGCAAATCACATTCATTCTTTCTTGACCGGCCAGGAGGGGTTTGGGATGGCAGGGTCTGGGGAACTGATGAGTGAGCAAGGGATGAGCAAGATGAGCAAGGGAGCGCACATGAGTGGGGGCAGAGAGGAAGGTGCAGAGATGGTAAGGGAGGGATTGAACAAATTTCCAGTGGGGGAGAAGACGCATGGCAGCAACGGCAGCCACGGCAGCCACTGCAGCGAGAGCAGTAGCTGTGGAAGATGGCCTGTTTGGTCTGCCCGGTCCGAGCGGCCCGATCGGCATGGCTGGCCAGTCCCCTTCCTTGTGCTCCTGCACGGCTCCTCCCCTCCCCCACCCAGCTCTCTCGCCGCAGCTGATAGCTTCAGCCCTTACGAGAGGGATGCTTATAAAGGGGACAGCACTTTCCATGAGCCGGATTCGGGCGGTCACAGGGAGGTCACTAGTGACCCGCCACCGAGCGGGAGGGATCAGACCGGAGGAGGGAACAGGGAAAGGGACAGGGGTAGGAACAGGAAGAGGGACAGGAGTAGGGACAGGCGTAGGGACAGGAGCAAGAGAAGCTGCTGTAAGAGCAAGGAGAGGGGCGGAAAGGCTGAAAGAGGGGATGGAAGGGCGGAGGGGTGTAAGCAGGGTGATTGTAACGATGTGATGAGAGGCTGCCGGGGCAGCAACAGCAGGAGCAAGAGCAGGTCGCCTGCGCCCTCCCTCTCGCCCTCGCCTGCGCCCTCCCTCTCGCCCTCACCTGTGCCCTCGCTCGCGCCCTCCTCCTCCATCCCCTCTCTATTGTCACTTGGCTTTGACGCTGTCGTGAGAAAACCTCTTCGCAAACCGGCACTGCTGGCGGCACTTCTGCCGCTGTTCCCTGTGGGCACGGAGCAAGGTGAGTGTGAGCAGGAGGGTGGAGGAGGAAGAGGCAAGAGCGAGGAAGCAGCTCAGGGAGGGGTGAGGGCGAGAGACGAGGTTCATACTGTAGGAACGAGTTGTTTAGTGAAGCTTAGCCAAGACCCTTCCCACCAGCACCAGCAGCGGCAGCAGCAGCAGCAGCAGCAGCACCACCACCACCACGACCAGCAGCAGCAGGTCTCAAGAGATAACCAACGCGTAAGGCACCGCCCTCTCAGTATAGACTGTAATAGTGACAGTATCATTCAACAGGGTGAGAGGCAGGGTGAGAGGCAGGGGCAGAGGCAGTGGGGTGGTGCGGCATTGGAGCCAGTGAGTCAATTGACCCTTCACAAGGGGCAGTGGGGGGGTGGTGTGGTGCTGAGCCCATCGGCCCTCCACAAGGCTGGCAGCAGCGCTGCAGCAGCCCTCTGGCGAGCTGTCACATCCCCACGAGCACTCATGTCCCCTCAGTCACTCGATTCCCCTCACTTGTTGAACTTGCGCCCCTCTCACTCTCCTAACTCTCCTATCACTCCCACCTCTCCCACCACCCCCACCACTCCCATCACTCCCGTTTCTGACTCGGCCAAATCTGTAGCTGCAAGCCCCGTCACTGCACGAGACACATCACCCAATGCCAGCAGCATGCATGCTGCCTCAACACCTGCACATCTGCCTCCCCACCTCCTTTCCCCTTCTGCTGCTGCTGCTGCCGGTGCTACCAACCATCACCAACACTCCTTACAGCCACGTGGGACCGTGTCGCTGAGTGCCAGTGGCAGTGCATCCAGGGTGGAACCTCCCCCAGACATGCATGGGCCAGGCAACGGGTCATTGGCGTGCTGCAGCGAGGAGGAGGCATCGCCGCATGGAGGGCAACAACAGCAGCAGCAGCAGCAGCAGCAGCAGCAGCAGCAGCAGCAGCAGCAGCAGCAGCAGCAGAGCATGGATGACAACAGCGGCTCGTTGGTGAATCGATCGGCTTCCTTTGAGCACCTGGTTGAAGCGATCGCACCCGCACCTCCCGATGCTGTTGCTGCTGCTGCTGCTGCTTCTTCGGCGGGTTTGGCAGGGGGTAGAGCCCTTGGGAGAGGCACCAGTGCCGGGGAAGCAGCTGGTTCAGGCAAAGGGAAGGGATGGGTGCATGGCTCAGCAGGCAAAAGGAGAGCAGCTGGGCGGTCCCGTGCAAGACAGAATGATAGGAGGAATAGCACGGATTCCAGTAGTGCTGGTGGCGATAATGGTGCTGCTGCTGCAGTGGCTGGTGCTGGTGCTGGTGGTGGTGGTGGCAGAGTGAGTGGGTTTGAGAGTGTGCTGGATTTTGCAGGGTTCTCTCCCGCCACTTCGTGTTCCTCGCTTGGGACTATTTCCCCTGCCCTTTCGCGCACACCATCGCCATCACTCTCACCAGCCCCAGCACCAGCAGCATTCTCAACAGCAGCACCGCCAGCAGCACCAGATTTAGCAGCAGTGGCAGGGGAGCCGGCGACGGTAGGGGAGAGGTTGAGTGTGCTGTTGGGTCGGCGGGTGATGGTGGTGGATGACAATGTGATCAACCGCAAGGTGGCCAGCAAGCTGCTGGAGAGGCACGGCGCGCGAGTCACCGCTGTGGATGGCGGCATCAAGGCCCTTCACGCCCTCGCCCCGCCCCACCCCTACGACCTCGTTTTCATGGACCTCCAGATGCCGGGCATGGATGGGCTGGAGGCGACTCGGAGGATCCGAGCGCGGGAGAGGGCTCAGAGCGGGGGGCAT